CTGTCTGTTGTTTCTTATCTTGCCTTCTGGTGCTTTGAATGGAGATGCTGTTGTCATCACTCTATGAAATAAAAACATTAGCTCAGTGGAAAGTATCTGCTTTGAAAATAGAAGGAGCCAGGTTTTACATTTAACTTTTCGAATTAAATTATCTGGTAACAAATGATAGGGAAGACTCTTCATTTGAATTACTTGACAAGTTTTACTGTTCAGAAGAAGGCAAGGCTGTGTTCGATGAACAAGTAGTAAACCATCTTCATACGTTGAATAGACCCAGCCAAGGCCCATTCAGTGGACATTTTTATTAATGTTTTCTGCAGAACATAATCTGCAGGCAAAATAATCTCTATCGCAATGGTGCATAGTTTGAATTCCGGCTGTTCTAGTGAATCCTGCATGTTCAGTGAGTTACAATGAGGAATAAAACTATTATATTTGGATGTTTTTTTTAAAACACCCCTCTGATAGATGGGAGCAAAGAGTGAGCTCTCTATGTATCCTTTTGTGACCTAGTGATTATCCATAGTTTTGCAGCTCATGCATGGTAGTCCTAATAAGCAATCTCTTGCAAAGAATTATCAGCATTGCTAAAAACTAAAAGCAGAGGGGGGAGGTGGTAGGAGGAGCCATGACAGTTATAGCTGTATAAATAAGCAGTCAGTTGATTAGCAGATAGCAAGGCTTACTGTTCACAACAAGGTAACAAGCAGTATTACCTATTGCCTTCTGTGGATGAAACAAGAATAAAACTTGGCAAATTGAGCAAAAGCCGCCACCAAAGGGCTTTGTATGTGAATTAAAATGAAAGGCTCCAAAGTCCTACAACTGGGGCTGTTTGGGACCAGCCCTTTAAGCATCCACCTGTGTAGTTGGCAGCTTATCTCTCCCTCTGGAAGAGGTAAGAGTTTATAATGCCATGCAACAATCGAACACATTATTTGCATGGCTAATTGGAGGGAAGAAATCAAAATCTGGTAGGTGTGGTGTTGTGTTCAAGGCCCCCCAGCTCTCTGATACATGGGTGCAACTTCGCCGCATATAGAAAAGAGATGGGCTCCAATTACAACGCTGCATCTGCTATCTTGCCGTTGTTGGTTCGTTCCACTGGTAATACAGATAATTCTTTACTTACAATCATTCATTTAGTGACCGTTCAAAAAGTTACAATGGCGCTGAAAAAGTGGCTTATGACCGTTTTCACACAACAACCATGGCTGTGTCCCCAGGATCATGTTATCGAAATTCGGATGCTTGGCAACTGGTTCTCATTCATGACTGTTGCAGTGTCCCAGGGTCATGTGATCAGCTTTTGGGACTTCTCACAACCAAAGTCAATGGGGGAAGCCAGATTCACGTAACTGGGTTACCGACGTATCAATTGCAGTGGTTCACCTAACAACTGTCCCACTTAGCAATGTAAATTTTGGACTTGATTTTGGTTGTAAGTCCAGGACTACCTGCAATGTAGCATCACCACACCAGTATAAAAAAGGGCAGAGCTTGCATTGTAATATCATGATGCGCATGTCACCATTTAAGAATGGATTCCGGTGAGCAGCATATACATTCTCTGTTGTAAATAGACTATTTAAGACAACAATTCAAAATCATATTGAATCTGGAAGGAGCAGGGATCCACATTCATGTGTAGATGCATCAATCAGACATATACTTAAAGAACTGACAAAAAAGACAACTAAGAAGAGCAACGGTTTTGGGTTTCCACCTGCTTTGTCTCACAACCAGAGAACACGCTGACGGCAGAAGCTGTTTGGTGCCATTTTTTCACTCTTCTGGGTACCCATTGCAGAACATAGGCACAGCTTGTTCCTGAGGCTATGAAATGTTTGTTTTCCTTCACTACCATGGCAAGCAAACTAACCACAATGGATGGATTTGTAGCGGCAAGGGGGAGGAGGAGGGGGCTACAAAATCCAGATAACTACGAGGTGCTAAATACAATTTTTTGATCCAAAAATCCATATCCTTAATCCTAACATATGGGAAACTCGGTGTCATTTTTATTGCAAAGTAAAAAAAAAAAATCTCCTTAGCAGTTCATTTAAGCTCACAAATTTGGGGTGCTCTTTGGGGAGAGGGAGGGTAACCAGCATAAGTCTGCCCTATTATTGCAGATCCCAATCCATGTGACTGTTTTGTACAGACACCCACCTTTGTCTCATCATTATAAAAACATGTGCTCCAGCAATGCATTTGGGCTTTGCGGTTGAATCTTGAAGATATCCAGGAACATGCCGTGAAACTCATTTTCCCTGCTTCCAAAATAACCCTTCCTGCCTTTGCTTCCTCTTCCAAGCCGAACTCTAAAATGGCATCTCCTCTCTGCTCTTTCAGCACTATAGACCAGAACTGATTCCGGAAGCTGAAAATGGATGGCAGAGGGGGACATTTTTTTAAGAAACAGGAGCGAGCAGAGGCAGGAGACAATGGCAATGTGGGCATCCTGCCTGTAGTTATAATAAAAAAGCAGTAACTTTTTAAAATTATTTCTTGTGATGTTCTTGTGCTCATGACCATAGCAGAGAGGAGATTTGATGGCAGATGTTTCTTGTTCTATTCCAATGTACTAGAACCATGAATGAGAAGATCTATGTGGCTGAAGTGAAGGAAAAGCACCAAGCTAAGAAGATGTATGAGGAAGCCCGCAGGCAGGGAAGAACAGCAGCTCATGTTGGCACCAAGTAAGAGCCTCCCAAAGAATTCGGCCTCTTCTTGTCTCAGAGCTTCCTCCAAAGATAGCCACCAGGATGGGGTGGAGGGAAAATTCTATGAACGTGTGATGAAGATTGGCAGCTTTGTCACAGGCAGAGGGATGGTGTGGATTGGGTTGCTCTGCCAGCTGGCAAACAGCATCATATACTGAACAACACGTTTCACTATTTCCTAGGGACCGAGAAATAGAAAAATTCAGAGTGTCCACCAGTGTGGAAGCAGGAGAAAAGGTGGCCTTTGAGCTGACCTATGAGGAATTGCTTCAGCGACATTTGGGGAAGTATCAGCATGCTATCAGCATCCGTCCCCAGCAGGTGGTGAGGAACCTCACAGTGGAAGTGAGCATCTCTGAGAGAACTGGCATTGACCATGTCCAAGTCTTGCCCCTCCGCACAAGTCGACTGATGACCAATACTCTTCAAGGTAGGGGTTCATCCTTCTCCTGTCTCAGCTCTCAGATAAGTGGAGTTGCGATCCAGCATCACAAAGAAATACACTTGCGTTTCAACTTAGAAGATCAGCAAAGTTTCACAATAGGTGGTCCTTCAAAAGCTAAGCAGCTTTGGACCTGGACCATCAGGAAAATCCCAGGCTTATGGGCTAAACTAAGAAAAGTTAAAAAAAATATATCCTGGAGAAGGGAAGAGAGTGGCAAGCTATACCTGTATCACTGCAGAGAAAATTACATGGGATTGTCCATATGGTCATCAGAAGTTGAACACGCTCATGGGAGTGAGACATTAGCTTAAGGTTTCAATGACTCTGCTGTGACTCAGTGCAATCCCGCCTCACAAACCTGCCTAGGTTTAGATAGAGGTTTGACTACCTACCAGCTTGCAAATCCTCCTCACCATAATAACTGTAGCATTCACTTTAGTTACATTTGAACCTCATCTACAGTATGTTGCTTAAATTTTTACTTCCCCATAGCCACATTTGGAAGGATTTCAAAAAGTAAACAGGCATTCCTGATAGTCTAGGTTCTGCTCAAGGGTCATGAGGAAGTGTCTGTAATCCTGGGTGCATCCTATCCATTCCAAGACTTGGGGAACCATCCACACATATTTATGTCTTGCTTAACTTCTCTCTTGATTTAGTGAATAGCTGTAGAAGATCTGAAGTGACTTGAGTGAAAAGCCTTGAAGTGAAATTAAACCGAGGCAGGCCAAGTCACCTCTGCATTAATGACTTCCTGCATATCTGAGGCAACCCTTGCCCCCACTGATAAATCTACTGATCTGTCTTCTCAGGTGAAGCTGATATGCCACCCTCAACTCGAGTGGAGAAAGGACGGCACTGTGCTTGGATTGTCTTCACCCCAACCCCCCAAGAACAGGAAGCCTTCTCCAGCTCAGGAATCATCGGTGATTTTGTGGTGCAGTATGACGTGGCCATGCCGGATGTTGCAGGAGACGTACAGGTTAGGGGAGAGGCTACACGAGCATATAATAAATGGAAAATTACATAATTATATAATAAATAGAGTAAAAGGAACATTCTGGGTATCAAGATTGTCTTAAAAAGTGGAAGCAAGATAGGATGACACAGAGCAATCCAAGAAGAGTGTTGTGGGAACGTAAGAACTGCACCACTATAGCAAACTCTGCATCCATTTAGGCCAATGTTCCACAATCAGATATCCCTGGAAGCTCAGAGGTAGGCAGAATAAAGTTCTTTTCCAATAAAAGAGGAACCCTGCAATCTATAGAAAATGGGCAAACACATCGTCTCTATGTAAATCTGGATGGAGAACTGAGAGCTGTATATAGATTTTGAAACTCTCTTTCCTGCTCCTGTCCACGACCACTCCATCAGCAAGGACATCTTCTCCATCATTTCTACAATTTGATTCCTTTTTTCATTCTCTCTCAGATCTACAATGGCTACTTTATTCACTACTTTGCCCCAAGGGGGATGCCCCTGGTGCAGAAGGATGTGGTCTTTGTTATTGACATCAGTGGCTCCATGTATGGCACCAAGCTGAAACAGGTGAGCAGCCCCAAGTTGCAGAAGTGAAGGCCCAGAAGCTGGCAGATGAAGGATGGGGAGGGAATAGAGAGAGAATTCAGAAAGCGGGAGCATGATACAAGTGGTCCTCAAGTTACAACCAGTTGTTCAGTGACCAATCAAACTTGAATGACAATGCCCATGGTGTGGGAAAGATTGTAACTTGACATGTAAGAGAAGTAAATGGTGAAGAGAATGAATTAAGAAATGAAATGAAAAAAGAAAACCAAAAGAAAACTAGATATATTACATGTTTGTAAATCTAGGAGCGAGAAAAAGGATCTGAATGAAAATGGTCTGATCTTATGAAGTGCAGGTAGATAAAGGAGAATATTTGTAGCTCGGGTTTGAAATGAAGGGTCCTTGGCGCTCTCTGAGCTTGCTTGTTTTCTTGCAGGTGTTTCATTACCCAAATTAGGTAACATCATCAGTGCTATTCCTACTCAGGAAACTTAGATTAACTTTGTTACTGTATTTTACATTCATTGTAAAATAATAGCATTTCATTTGTAAATACCTAAATTAAAATGACTGGAGAATGCACATTTTAGCTTGCTCAATAACAATATTGGGCATCAATTGATCTGAATCAAAGGACATATTTTTGCTAATAAGGTCACCCAACTCCCACCTCTAATTTCCTTGGTTTTACAGATCAAGAAAGCTATGCACGTCATACTAAGTGATCTTCACCAAGACGACCATTTCAACATTGTTACTTTTTCTGACACAGTGAATGTGTGGAAGCCAAGTCAATCCATCCAAGCCACTTCCCAAAATATCCGGAGGGCCAAAGATTATGTCAGCAAAATGGAAGCAGATGGATGTAAGTGTTGGCCTGGAGAATTGTGGGAGACAGGGCAGGAGAGAGACATAGATAGAAGGCATCCTAAAAATAATTGCAAGAAGAGCCAAAAATCAAATTTTTATAACCTTGAGTCCATAATTAAAGATTGCTGCTAAAAATCCTTTTCTAAAGTTTGATTGTTCTCCTGGAAGATCAGACCCAGGAACTCCTGTTTATAGCTACCTGGATCAATCCTTCCATTTAGTCTTGGGAAGCTTGGTGGGGGGAGAGACCTGTGTATGTCTAGATATTGCTAATATTGCTGTAGGCTAGGCCTATCAGCCTGATCAATAAGAGACTGTCTGACAGTTGCAGTTCAAAAGTATCTGAAGAAACTGAGGAAGTTCCCATCCTGATATGGCCAAAACCTTTTCTTCCGAGGTGTCTTTGTTTCTGAGTCTCTCATTTCCTACTCTTAGGGACTGACATCAACGCGGCATTGCTTGCAGCTGCCTCCATCTTCAATCGGAGTTCTTTAGTGGATGGAAAGGTGGAGAAGGAGCCAAGAATCCCACTGATCATCTTCCTGACCGATGGTGAACCCACTTCAGGAGTAACAGCTGGCAGTCGCATTCTGACCAATGCTCAGCAGGCTCTTAAGGGCACCATCTCACTCTTTGGTCTGGCCTTTGGAGATGATGCTGATTATGGACTGCTGAGACGACTCTCGCTAGAGAACCGTGGGGTGGCCCGGCGTATCTACGAGGATGCTGATGCTACTTTGCAGCTCAAGGGTTTCTATGATGAAATTGCCAGCCCTCTGCTGTACGATGTGGAGCTGTCCTATCTTGACGGGGTTGCAGAAGACCTCACGCAGAACCTCTTCCCCAACTATTTCCAGGGTTCTGAGCTTGTTGTGGCTGGCCGAGTGAAGCCAGGAGCATCAAAACTGCAGGTGCGCACAACAGGGCAAGGCCAGGAAGGCCCGTTGAACCTGGAAAATGACATTTCAACCAACACCACTGAAGCTGCTCCATTTGGCTGCCTTGGCGAGATCAACAAGATCGGTCACTTTGTACAAAGGCTCTGGGCCTACTTCACCATTCAAGATCTGCTACAAGCCCGGTTCCGAGCCAATGACACTGCTGCCCGGCGTCTCCTGACAGAAAAAGCTACCAATTTGTCAATCAAATACAACTTTGTCACTCCTGTCACCTCCTTGGTAGTGGTGAGGCCAGAAGAAGCCAGAGACAGAAACCAGCCTGTGAAAACCACAGTTCCTCCAGGGGTGACTAGAGTACCAAAAACCTCTCCTCAAGCATTGGCTGTATCTGTTTTGCCAAGACTTTCTAAGGCAGCTAAATCTGTTCTTGGAGTTACTGATCCTCCTGCAGTAACAAAAGCTTTCAAGGAAATGATGGGGACAGGAACTGTTCCAGTGACAGCACCTAGGCTCTTTAAAGCAGCCAGAGCCACCTCTTCACCTGTTAGCACTATGTCTACCACCATCACTCCACCTGTCTATCCCACCATAGTACCTACTGCCACCGGCCACCCCAAATCAGCCAAAGTCACAACAATTCTGGGGAGAACAACCATCTCTTTGACTCCCCTAGCGAGCCATAGATCTACTAAACCCCCAAGAGCTACCACGACTCTTAAGTCAACCAGGTCATCTGTAACCCTCCCCAAGATCAGTCCCACCAGAGCAGCAAGATTCAAACTCACTGTTCAGCCACACCCTGCACTGGAGACTAGAGGAACAGCCATGACAAAGGTTATGGCAGGGGTCCCCAACACTATGGTTAGGGCATCAACTGCTTTGTACCCTTCTGCCAGCCCAAAGATGCTGGAGAGCAACTCCAGTCTTTGGGAACAGCCCAAGATGACCCCATGGCCAGCCACTCAGTACCACCCATATAGCAAGTGGCAAGCGAGTACTGCCAGGATGGAGACAGGGAAACTTCCCAGGAGCAAGACAAACACCAAGGATGGGGTAACCTCAAAGTTGCACATTGATAGGCCCCAGGAGAAAAGCACAGTCTCTTGGGGCACATCCTTCACCACTCAGGCAGCAGAATTAGAGGGCGCCAGTCCGGTTCCTGGCACCTCCACACCTGCCTCTGACATCAGCCTCCTCCTGCTACCTGGGGAGTCTGAATTACACTCAACCACCATCCAGAATACAGAATATGTGGAGTCCTTGAACCCTCCAGCTTTATATAGCTTTTTGATACCCAAAGGACTTGGAGGTAGGTGCAAGGAACCAGGGGCAGTGCTGGGGTTTGGGGCCTTTTCCTCCTAGGCCACATACATGCCCACCTCTCTCTTCATTTACATCTGAAGAGAGAGGTTTAACTGCATGGGTTTTTAGCCCATCTCTGTTGTTGCTGCTGCTGATGATCTCCCAAGCGAGGAGAAACTTGCAACAAGGATGAATTGTGCCTAGTAGATTAAGAACTCATCTTGTTTATTCATACATAATTTTCATGAATCTCCAGTTCTGCTAGCTATGTGGAGGAGCCTAATTCATGCCCCCTTTTACTCCTGTTGTGGTATTCCAGCCCTGCCTCCTTATTCCCAAGATCAGCTGCCCTCTCCCCTCTCTGCCCATTAATCTGTGTATCTTATGCCCAGCCATGCATATAATGCTCTGGAATTGCTCTAGATCCTCTTTGATGATTGGATAGTGTGTTATCTATGCGTTTTTGTTTCTCTCCTCAGAAAACTTGGATTATGGAGACTATCCAGGTAATTCTTCCATCACAGAGACTGATTTTGGAGACATGGCCTAGTGAGCTCATTCTATTTCCTATTTTTAAAGATCTTCCCACATGTTCATTTTGGAGAGCACATTTATTAAGCCCACTTTAAACCACACATATGCTGCAATGTACGGAATGTGTTCCAGTTCAGATTTCTGACTTATTCTATTCCCTTCTCCTGTGGTTTATCATTTCCTTCATGGCACTGAATAGTCATAAAATGATTAGAAGTGGTCTACGGTACTACTTCTGGCCACATTCTTAACTGTGTGATATTGTATTGTGTCTCCTCCTTAGAATGTTTTCTTTTTCTCCCAAAGACTTTATTTCTGCAGCCTGGGATTCCCCTGAGCCTACTGATCCCAATCACAGTGTGTATGTGAAGCCAATTTAGGTACACATCCAGAGAATGAGTTTTCTTTAACAAAGAAACCATCACTGACCATTCCATGTTCTTAAGGGATGGAATGCCTGATTGTTCAAACACTCTTTGCACAAAAGAACAAAGAACAAACAAATAGCTGAAAAACAAAGGACAAATAAGGACATGGATTTGCATAAAGTATACATATACTAATCTATATGTAGGCATGGAAATATTAAAATTCTTGCTGTGTAAAATAGAAATTCATCTCTCTATATTTTTACATCAGGCATAAACTGTTAGTTCTTCTAAGAGAGCAGAAGTTGGAAACTGAATTTACACAAAGCCTGGATTCTCTACACCCAATTTCTGATCAGTCACAACTCCCAGCAGCCTTACTCAGCCTGGCCAGTGCTTCCATCTGGTGACATTATCAACACCTGGAGTGCCAAATTCTGGGTACCCAGGTTTAAAGATATTCCCTTTCCTTCAAAGCCTTTCATTTCTTCTTCTTTCAAGGTGGATGGGCCTGAATGCTCCTCCCTTCTTTGTCCGGATAAAGCACTTTATGGAGGACAAAGCATCTTAACACTCACTGCAGAGAGGGGAAGAGAATTTGCCCCAATATTTTCATTGCAAAGTGATGGGGAAAAAATCCAGGAAGGGATTAAGGCCCTGAAATCCATGTGTGGCTGACTCACAAGCTGCATCCAGTCCATAAGTCAAGAGGGTTTCCTCTTTTTAATTAAGTCTTCTTCTTCTTCTTGTGCCATATCCATTATCGGATGTTGGCGATCATGTTGGCGATCCTGTTTTTATCAGCAGCCGCACGAAAAAGTGCTGCTGAGTTTTGTCCAAACCAGTCCCTTAGATTTTGAAGCCACGATGTTCTTCTTCTGCCTGGACCTCGTTTGCCTTCAATCTTTCCCTGGAGGATTAAATTAATTAAGTCTTGAAAAACAGAAACTGCATGTCCTTTACAAAGTAAGACTCGTGGCCATTGAAGATGGGAGACTAGGTGTATTGGCAACCCTGATCAAACTATGGCTTTGTTAGTTAAAAAAGTAAATATGGAACAGAATTGAAATATACTGTACTGTAGTAGTATATGTTGAGGAGGATGCATGTTTTCTTTGCTAGCAGCTATTGCTACAAAACTCTAAAGTTGCTCATGATAAAGTCAAAACAAGGCATACTTCGCTAATTCTTTAAACAGAATAAAGCTTAACATTCAGAGCAACTAGACTTTGTGGTCTGGCCAATGAGCGTTGGTATCTTTTGAAGAGCACCCTGAATAAGTAAGCACTACCTCCGTGTCAACGACCCTCTTCAGTTAAATGGCTCAAATATCTGCTATGAAGTAGGGAAAGAAAGCTGGGGTGGTGAGGGGCAGTGCAGGATTGCTTCTGAGAGAGTCTTGTGAGTATGAAAATACTCTGAAAATTAACTCTCTTTTTTCTGCAGATTTTTTTGAAGAATTGGACAGCGAATCAGGTACTTTCCTGGACAATTAGCACTTGTCAAACAATTCCCCGGTGGGTAAACTGAGGAAGGTTGTGCTTTTAGAAGCATGAAGGAAGGGAACAGATGCAGAGCATGGCTCCCAGAATATTTCCTTTCTCCATTACCTGGAGTGATGCATTTTTATTTCTTTCCTCATGTACTCCTCTGGGGGTCTGTACTGGGAAGCCAAGTATATGTTTTTTATCTGAATCACATGACCAGGACGAGGGGGCTTAGAGTAGAGCAGTCAGCCTCATTCCAATGAATTGCCCACCCTTTCTCCTACAGGGATGCACTGGAGAAAAACATCGGGATTTTTTGATGATGGTGGTGGTGGTGGTGGGCTGTCCTCAGCCAGATCCAGCTCAGTTTTGAAGTTGGTAATTATTTTGCCAGCTTCTCCCCTCAAGCCAATTTTGATCCCATTCTGTCCAGTTCTCAGAAAGCTATCCTGTTGATGGGCCGCAGTCTTGAATCCCTTTACATAATTTCTTCCAACATGCTAGACTAGGGGGAAAAAAAATGAAAAGTCATATCCTATAAGCAAGTGAGTCAATGCATATTAGTGCATAATCGGTGAAACGACTTGCCTCCAGAGGTTGTGGGTGCTTTAACACTGGAGGTTTTTAAGAAGAGATTGGACAACCATTTGTCTGAAATGGTATAGGGTCTTCTGCTCGAGCAGGGGGTTGGAGTAGAAGACCTCCAAGGTCCCTTCCTACTCTGTTATTTTGTTATTATTTTTTGTGTCCCTCTCCCTGGTTTCTGTTAAAACTCATTGGATAAATTTTCAACAGATACAGCATAGCGGAGGTAGAAGAGATTGAAACTGAGACTGAATTGAGATTGATTGGTGGGTAATGGAATGAGACTCGGTGTACACATAAACTGAAATATTTCAATAATGCTCAGTGGATTTCATCTTTATCTCTTTTCAGACTCCCTGGGAGTGTCACCCAAATCTGGCCTCTTCACTTTCTCCTCTTGGGGTAACAACCCGTTCCTAGCTATGAAGAATTCACAGGGCCTCCATTTTTTTTAAAAAAAATGTCTTGTTAATGGATACCCTTTGCTTCTTCCTTGCAGTGGATGGAGACCCTCACTTTGTAATAAAGTTGCCACATTCACTGGGGAATCTGTGCTTCACCCTGGATGGACGCTCAGGAGATATCCTCCGGCTGGTGAGCGACCCGGCCACAGGTAAGAGCTGTGATTAGAGCCTGCCCCAGGCAATCCCAGGGGGCTAAAGGTGATGACAGGTGGGACCATAAGCTTGTTTTGAGGAACAAGATCTGGTACTTGTAATCATATGCAGAACCATTATCGAGTTAAATAATGGCCATTGGGTTGAAGGCCCCTACGGGAAGAAAAAAGACAGGAGAGGCAGAAGAGAGGAGTGGGTTGAAGAACAGCAATTGTGGATCTGCTTCCATTCTGTTGAGGAGCCAAGGGGGGGGGAAGGAAGAGACTGATGGTTGCCTTTCTTTGCCTTCAGGTTTGTCTGTTAATGGGCACCTAATGGGAGCCCCTTCAAGGCCAGGCCACGAAGAACGTCCCCGCACCTATTTGGATGTCATCACCATAGTAGTGGAGCACCCACATAACAGCTACGTGGTTAATATAACCCAGAAGGGTGTGACACTATATGGCGAAGAAGTGTTGGTCTTGCCCTTAACTCAGCGGGCCACAATCAATAAGGCCCCTCTGGCCATTTCCGTGTGGCCCGAGGCCAATATCATTGTCCAGATTGGGCCCATGGTTGAATTCCTTGTTCTGCTGCATCACTATAGCCATCCCACCGTCCTGCAGTTGGATCATCTTGGCTTCTATATTGTGAAGGGCCAAGGCCTGTCGGCCTCAGCAGGCGGCTTGCTAGGTAAGCTGTTTTATGAAGAGGGTCACTATCAGGTTTTCTCGTTCCAAGCCTTCATCTATTTAAGTTCTGCCTTGTGTTCCCTCCTTGCCACTTTCCAGAGTACTGTAAATGTAATGTATGCTTAAGAATCACACAAGTAATTCTAAAAAAAAAAAAAAAAGATGCCAGCTGGTCCTACATATTAAAAATACAGGGCATTCTTTGTTTCCCTGTGAAAGCTGGCAACTCACTGATGATATCCGTAACTATAATGGTATGCTGACTGGGAACTCTGGGTACTGTAGTCTTAATACATCTCGAGATCTCCAGCGTCATAGAAGGTGGAAATAAAAAGGCAAAATGACCTGCGACTCCTATGTTAAAGTAATGCAGATAGATAGATAGTTTTTGCAATGCCAATTTTCTCTTTCCCAGGCCAGTTCCAGAGTAGCAACATCAGCCTTTCCCCAGATCCATCTCAAGGGGGCAAAGTTGCCTGGATGCAGAGCGATGGGAAGAAAGTACTAGTCTCTGAAGTCTCCAAGGTGCTGAAGGATTCAATCCAGAGGGCTCACGAAGCCAAGTGCTGGCTGGTGAAGCGCAAGGATGTGGAAGAGTTGCTGGGAGCCTCCTACTGCTCCTACCTGGCCTCCAACCTGTTGGAAATATGAGCTGCCCTCTTCCATTCTCTGCTTAGAAAAGGTGGACCAGCAGGCTTACCAGACTACAGGACCATTTTCCGGTTTCTCCTTCACCATTTTGGTTACCCATGATGGGGAGAAGACGGGGAAATCCATCATTTCCTTCTGGACCTTTGCAGCGGGTCCTTGGAAATGGAACAGACATCGGACTATAATAAAAGAGAAACTGATTTCTCACTATGCTGTAGGACCAATCTATCCCCATGCTGTATCATGCTGATATAATGCAGAAAAGGACATTGTGCTTAGCTGCAAATATATCTTCTGAGCAGCAGATGGAGGGATCTGATGTGTTTATTCCTTTTTTTCTCTTTGACATTTTGGAATTATCACAACAGATCACCCCCCCCCCCAAAGTTCACAGCCTTAATTGGAATTGTTAAGAACAAAAACAGGATGAGGCTTTCTGTGGGCCTCAAATGCTGGACTGAGAGTTGCATGGGATCCACTCCAATCCCTCCATATTGTCCTTGTCTAGCTACGCTCCATGATGAAAAGCCATAGAGGCAAGGCCAATGTGCCCTTTTCAATCAATCGAGAAATATATACCAACCAACCACAGTGCCACGCTCCAGTATTTCAGCTCATATCAAATTGACCAAATGTGTGAGAGAAACTGCTGCTCAAAGGCACAACAGAAGGGAAATGGCTGAGGCATCTGACTTGCTGGGTCACAAAAGAAAAAGCAGGAGCCCTGCAAATTTCTTCCAATAGCAGGAAAGTCACAGATGCTATGGGGCATTGTTCAGTTTGAGAGCCATTTTTTTTTAACCTGGCTTAGTATGTTCTGGACATGTTTTAGTTATTCAACAATCCAGCTTATGCCATGTTAGCCTTTCCCTTTGGAGTGCTTTGGCTTTGGACAGGTGGACAATAGTATGAACAGTGAGCGCTCACTGTCTTCCTTGTGGCAGATTTTCCTGAACATGAAACACCCCGGGGGGTAGCTGGGAAGAGCAGCCGATTCAAAAGACTTCCCATCATCAATAGAGAAAAATTACCAGCTTGCTAACAGTTGGCTAGAGGAAAAGGTGTGGGTGGGTTGCTTTTTATCATTTCAGAGTGCCCCCCCCCCCACTGTTTCATTGGTAGATTTAATCGGACCCCATGTAGTCAACATTTTTATCTTCTGGAGACTAAAAGTAGAAATGGGCAGGATGGCAGATGGATTCGCTGCACCCTGTTCATTTATGCGACTTGGAAGTCTTTTTACAATTTCTAAGGAATCTCCTCCTAGACATCTCCCATCAACAAGGAAACTCAAGTTGCTCACCCAGCGTCCAATGCAGGGAAAGGGACTGAAACGTAAAAACAAGAAGGGAATAAAAGCTACTAATGCATCTGTCAAAATGTTTTTGCATTGAAAGGCCACAGCAGAAGCATATAAAAGCTTTTAGCATGTGGCAAGCAGAGTGGCAGAATAAAAAAAACTACACCAACAATCTGACGGATGCGAATCTAGCCAGGGATTTTCCATCAGCCCTCATAATCCATGCCGCAGGAATCTTACATTATAGCTGAAAGGAGACAGGCAAAAGCCCTTGCCTCTCTCATTATTTCTCCTTGCAGAAGTTTGGATGGCGTTCTTCAGGATGTTCCTGCGTTATATGTATATTTCTTTCCCCCGTTTTGCTTGTCTGCGCTACAAAAAGCCCCTCGGTATTTTAGCCGACAGCCATTCCCTCCCCCCCCCCCCCAGTGTCCCTGGGGCCCTGCAGCACCCAAGGTTTATTATCCTGTAATTATTGCGGGATCAGACTTTCTTTTCATGTGTTAATGTGTATTTTACAATTCTTACAATAAAAACAAAAATGGCTGCCCAAGATATTATTGTAAACCTGCAGCTGAAGCAAATATAGGATACTAATTTAAGGAAAGGAAAAAGGCAGTGACCTTTAGCTGGGAGAACGAACCTTTCAGTTCTGCTTGATAAATAACTTTCCGGTATTAATTTTGTGCATCCCAAAAATCAACAGACTGTTAATAATACCAATTCTGAATAAAAGGTGGCCTGTGACACTTTGCGGGGAGAAATTCCACATGAGATCAATGTGAGATAAGACACACTTCATGAATAGTACCAAGGAGTGCCAGTGTAAAATAATTAAATGGGCAAACATTCAATGTGGTTATTTGATGATATAGCAATTTAGGTCACCTTTTATTCCCCAACTGGCAAAAAACTACCAAAAAAAGAAAGAGTTGGATAGCCCCCCTGAAATAATCCCCCAGTGGTGAATCCTTTCAGCACAGCCCCCTTTAAAACAAAAAGTTGTGCACACTAAATGCCCCACTCTTATGTGTAGAATGTATGCCTTGGTGCTGCACCCCATGTATTAACTCTTGTGCAATAAACTGCTATATCTGTACTTCGGTATCAGACTCCCCGGAACACAAAATTTGTGGCCGAGTTCTCCCAGATCCTAGTGAAAGCATTTGTTCCTAGAGGAACAGAATCAGAAAAATATATCTCAGGCATATGCCACAATAAACTGAAGCTTTTCTTTTATTCTAACCCCTGGAAAAAAAATTATATATATAATTTTATATAATCGTATATAAATTATATATATATATAATTTTCTCCCCCTTAAAACACACATTTCTAGAGCGAGGCCTAAAAAATAGAATTCAAACATTTACACAAAGCTTGCTGGAGTCTGGTGTAAAAATATGATGCACAGCTGTATTAACTTGAGCTGTGCCGCTGGGTAGAAACATCTGTTAAGTCTTACTTCGGGGGCATGACGCCCTCCCTGCCGCCATAGAAGGGGGAGAAGGAGAAGGAGAAGGGAGGACAGACTGCTTTATGCCAAGAATGTAAAAAAAACAAGCCCTGGAATTAACAAAATGAGAGATCTGCAACAGGGACAGCTGTGAAGCCTACTGGAAAACTTCACATCGGCAGCAGGAAGAATTTGCTAATATTCCACATGGAATCGCCTGGTTGGCAGCCCCATCTGGCAAGTGATGCCGGCCTGAATAGTTTCCAACTACAGATTGGAGAGAGCTGGGAGTTTCACCAGTTTAAGATACAAACATTCAAAGCAACAACATTCTCTTTTGTGTGTACAGATATGCAAACTGGGGAGGAGGCAGCTTGTAGCCTTCTACCACAACTGTCTTCTTCTGTATGCTGCAAAATTTCTACAGCACACTAGACCGCCCCTCCCTTTTGCATCCTGCAGTGCCATGGGGACACAGATCTCTTCTGAAGCTTCCAGTCTTCTATTTTGGATGGATAACGTAAGGCAAGATGCGTGAATGGTTCCCTGCTGCCAAATGACTGGAAGTTTCAAAATTCTCTCGGTGGAGAGGGAGTTATTTCCAGGGTCTGCCTACTCCCCATCCGCAAATCCCTGATTACTGAAAAACAGGGAAGAATCCAGTTCTCTTTGTAAAACAAGCGGTTCCTCTCCCGGCCTTCCAGGCTTTGGAAGGATCTCTACCAGAGCAGTGTCTCTCAAGCTGAGCAATTTTAAGATGTCTGAACTTTCAACTCCAAGAATTCCCCGGCCAAAAGTAGTGCCAGCTGGAGGATTCTGAAAGTTGAAGTCCCCTCATCCGAAAATCACTGAAGTTGAGAAACACTGTTCTAGAAGACTGCAAAGGAACCCTCCTGCTTGCATGAAAAACAACAAGCAGCTATTTTCTGCTGGGAATTTTTTTTTTTTTTTGAAAAATAATGAAAGAAAGAAACACTCCTTGGCATGCCAGGGACTGCCAACAGCAACAAAAGATACAAAAGGGCGTTTGAAGCTGCTAGGAGGAAAACGTAAGCCAACATCTGTAATGTGTGACTTGACAGAGGGAAGGGAGCATTCGGAAGAGGTATCAGCTCCAGAACAAAAAAAAGGAAGTGCAGCGGGTCGAGGTAGGGATGGAGAACAAGTGGGCACAATGAACCCCCCGCCTCCTGCGTTGTCTGTCTCTTCAGGGAAACCAGTGTGGTTTGCCTCTGTGTTCGGGTGCTGCCAATCGAGTTCAAAGCTTCCGGCAGCAGCACAGGCAGCTCAGACTTGGCTCTGATCCATGTGAGGGAAGGAGAGGTAGAGTAGCGCAGGCCTTGTCCACACACCCAAGGTCCTATCGGCCCTCCAAAGAGACCAGGTGGTGCCTCCGAGTGGGACTCTGTGCCTCACCCAACTTCTGCTGCCCAAGAGCTGGGCATGTGGTCTGGAGCTGACATAGGGATGCACTCAGAGGAGTAGCTTGCCATTGCGATGGATCTTTAGGATCCGTCCGAGTCGCTGCTTTGCTGTCGCTAAACCCTTCTTGGGGCGTTTTCCTGAAGGGACCACAAAAAAAAAAAGAGAGTTATAATTCTAACTAGATAACCATTTTAGAAATATTTGCTTACCAGATTTTTTTAGTGCCTTCAACCATGGCAGAACCTCTGAGGTACTTGAAAAGTTCTTAAAAATTCAGGGAAATATTCAGAGATGTATCTGCCTTGAAAGTAGCCCAGGTTGAACCGTATAGCAGAGGTCCCCAACCCCTGGGCTGTGGCCCACTACCGGGCCATGGCCCGTTCGGAACCGGGCTGCGTGAGCGGTGGGCTGGCGCATGCACGCATGTGTGCAGCTCGACTTGTGCGAGAGGCAGGCTGGCGCACACATGTCCGTGCGCACAACGGCCCGCCACTTGCTCAGGCTGGTTGCTCCTTCCCCTCCCCCCCCCCGGCCAGGCCACCAAGCCATAAAGGTTGGGGATCGCTGCTGTACAGCACAGTCAAGCATCAGAAACTGGGCACCAGGAATGTTTTATGACATTTTGCCAAATTTCAATTACCACAGGAATCATAGGTCGTGGATTTTGCATGCATTCTGTAAAATAGTCCATTTGAGGTACCTTGGTTCAAAAATGTTTGCCCCATGATGCACTGTTTCGCCCAGTTCAAGGTTACAGAGACAAAAGCTTTAGAATGGATAGAGATTTACTCAAAAGTCATAAAACCAGTTTATTTTCCTTCTGAAAAAAGTCTGTGCTGATGTGGAGAGTGAAACTCAAAATCCTCTCCAGCTACAGAATGAATCCAAGACGAACACAAGGATCCATAATCTGGATCTTGCCAGGATCCAGTGGTTCCTACCTGCCTCAATTCACACCTGCCTCTGTTTCCTTACTCATATAGTACTTCATTCCTATAAGGAAGTCCTGAAGGTTCACAATGCTATATAATTAATGACAAAAGTGCAACAAAACACGCTAGTATTATCCCAAGTGAGATACTCACGGTGAGGCGTTATTTGAACTGATAACTTTCTTTGAATGCAGCAAGGCTGATAATAGATAATACCACTAAGTGTGTTCAGTATTTGATTGCCCAGAATGCACCCAACGAATGACCAGTCCAAGCCATATTCTTCCACCAACTACAATCCCTCTCCTCCTCTGGCAAAACACCTTGTAGCAGATCATAAGGCAGTAAGAATTCTTCCCTAAACAACATCAATGGGATTGGCCCTTCCCTTTTGAAGCCCATATGTACAAGCTTACCCTGGGCTGCTTGAGGACCTGGTGAGCCAGCTGAGGGGCGCCGCTGGGACAAGAAAACCCCTGGGGCCATCGGCGTGGAGCCCCGGTTCACCTGGGCCATTCCAAAAACATTAGGCCGAGCAGTGTATTCATGATCCACCAGGCTGCCAGCAAACTGCTCCTGTTTCAATTCCGGGGGAGGGGTGGGCACGGGGGCCTCCAGCTCAGGATCTGGTTCCTGGGGGAGGGGGGGTGGGGGTGGCACATCCGGTTCCACTTCTGCTTCTATCAGCTCCGGCTCTGGCTCCGGCTCCGGTTCTGGCTCCGGTTCTGGACTAGGAGCTTTTGGAGAGGGTGGCTTCCTTTTTACGAGTTTCCGCCGCTGCAACTTCTGATGTTCCTTAAAAGGAAGAGAAAAGAGGCGGAATCCTTCATGCAGAGCTGCAGTTGTTTAAGACCAGCTGGGCATGGGCAGCACCGCTAGGGATTCCTGTTGCTCCTGCCCAGCTGGATCCATTAATGGTACCTGGGAATGACTTGAAGGGATTCTTACACATTCGAATTCACGTTCGAGAACACTGAATGAACTGGCTATCCTAAATTCAACACACACACACACACAGTCTGAAAGTAGAGCTTTAGCAACTTACGGGATGATGCTATCGTATGAAATATGTTGCTCTGGCTCTTGTACGATAAATTGTGCTATATTTCTGTTCCTTGCTTATTGATTACTGATCCCATGATGGCTTGTTCTAGTTCAGTGGTGGCGAATCTATGGCACGGGTGCCAGAGGCGGCACTCAGAGCCCTCTCTGTGGGCACCTGCACCATCGCCCCAGTCCTAGGCCTTCAGCTGGGTTTTATAAAACCTTTTCACTTTAGGCCTCCGCCGCCGTGTGCAAAAAAAAAAAAGGTTCAATCAATCAGTCAATTTCAACTTCTTGCGGGGAAAAAAAAGATCTTGCAAAGTTGGAATTGATTGATTGAACTTTTTAGTCCCACCCAGTCTGCCGTTACCACCGCAGCCACGCCCACCCAATGGGCCACACCCAGCCAATGGGCCACACCCACCCGGCACCCGACGATGCATAAGTGGGTTTTGGGTTGCAGTTTGGGCACTCGGTCTATAAAAGGTTTGCCATCACTGTTCTAGTTCCTGCATACGCTGAAGTATGCTATGTACCATTCAGTGTTTTGAACGCGATGGCATACAAAGATAATAAATACATAATCAATCAGTCACCACACTGAGTGCGGTGAGAAATATACTGAGGAAAACCAGTATATAGAAGGCAGCACGCTAACCTTGGCAATGAGTGTGCTTCGTAAGGAATAACAATTCCATCTTCCTGAAATACCGCGAGCTTTCCCCCCTGACAAAGTGAATGTTCTACTGAAGAAGGCGGCCACCCTCCCGAAGATGAGTCTCTTTGGGCCTCACCACCTGCTCCTTCTCTCGTCAACCAACCTGGCCATTTACCTGCTGAGCTAGTTTAGCTGCTGCAGCTGCCAGACCGGTCTCGACAGATGCCACTCTGGTCCCTTCACGGACAGGGCGGTCTTGCTTGGGTAGTGTTGGGGTCACCCGGGCTGTGAAGAGGGAAAGTTCACCTGAAGAATTTTCTGTTCCACTTTCCCCCCAACTGTGATGATTTCAACTTATGCGGAGTGGGTAATGCCCAGGTTGTCGTTTGGGCTGAGGAATTCTGGGAGCTGCAGTCCCAAGACCTGAAGCACCCCCAAGATTAGGAGAGGCTGCTCTACTTGCTCCCACCTGGTACATATAAAACATATTCTTTGCCTACATACTCATATGAGTAAGATAACGGAAGCTTCGTTTACTGGAGATCCATAAAATTTAGGCCACAAATCTGTAACTAAGGCCTCAAAACCCTCACAGATGTAGTGCTCATTCTGAAACGTTTAATTCTCACAGGCAAAACACAAAGGAAAAAAAGAAGAATAATTTGCATTTGTGAATAGAGCTAAGCCATAAGATATACTATGGAGCCAATTGAGGGCAGGTCTATCAAAATTGGCAAAGTTCAGTACTGTTTTTTAAACTAAAATAAAATCCTTAAAAAAAAATCCCTTTCCAATATAGTCAAGCAGATTTGCCTCCAATTATTACTATTACAATGAAAACCCACCCCTCCGACTCGCATTTCAGATATCAAGCAAATCAGAAAAATCTCCACATTCAGAATTGTGACCTTCCAGGCATTTCTATAAATTGTAATAATGCAAAGCTGCAATACAGGTTGACTATGCTCAGTTTAAGCAGAGAAAACCCATTGCTCTACCTATATTCTTTCCACACCTCACAGAAACGAAAGGAAAGTTCTATGCCCGTACCATCGTGCTTTGTGTATTTCCAAGAATTATGAACCAGTTCACTCTATAATTGCTGGTTCAACGATCAGCACTGCACAATGAAATCCCATCCTCAAATACAGTATAAAAGTCTTCAGCAATTCCCCTAGCATTAGAATCCTCATCACATTTTTTTCCATCCCAAATACTTTCAGGTATATTTTTGTGTGTAAAAGAGTTAGAAATTTGCTTTGTAAAAGAACTACTGCCAGGGAATTGCATTTTTGTATCCCTTTGTATAGACTCACATTAAAGACACACCATCTGTTACAGGTGATGGATGATTACCTTTAGGACTCCACGGAGCGTCATCCGTGCATTTTTTCTTCTTTGGCAGTGACTTCAAGGCTGGGTCATCCTCATCCGATTCCAAGGAAGGATAAACTACAGAGAGAGGGATGCAGTTAGGCATGAATTGTAAATTTTTCAGGTCCTAATATATGGGAGGGGCAAACAAGAAACTGTGACTGCAATGGGGCACATAAAGGGAAGCTAGATTTCTCCGAAGACAAATGCTTTATTGCTATAACCACAAGTCCTTCTCTGGTCAATTTAAATCAGTCGGATATCTTTTCATGTATTAAAGAGTAGCTCCTTTTCACAAAACATGGAACAGTAATTTTTAAAGCAAGATAAGGGGGACACGCTTGGTACTTGCAGAAAACCAAAAGGCTGCATATAATTTTGAGTAAGAAAATCTATAAAGACAGGGTGATGAAAAATGAAATTAAGCTGGGCAAAGCAGTTTCTCCCCATGCAGAATGACAAAGATTCCTCCCTACAAGAGGAAGTCCAGATGTCAAACGAGACCAAATTCCCTGCAAGGTCTTGGATTCCAGGCCAGAGCAACCACCCCCCAAACTTTGACAAGATGGTCTGCTCCTCATTCTAGACCAGTGATGGCGAACCTTTTAGAAACTGAGTGCCCCAAAACCGCCCCCGCCCCCCATCCTGCCCCTGCTCTGCCCTACCCCGCCCCCGCTCCGTCCCCACCCCACCCGCCCACAGGGCCACTCACCACCTCCACAGCCCGCCGCAGATCGCCCAGGTGGCCCAGGAGCGCCATGGTGGCCACGCCCTCTGCCCGCAGCATCAACTACGTACAACGGGGCGTGAGCTGTTGCCCGGCTGCCATGACGTTGGCTATGCTGCTTCACAGGGCCGCGCTTGGGGGCGACTCTCCTCAAGGGGGGCTGCTGGTGAGGAAGAGGCCATGGGGGGAGGCGGGGCTGGGGCAATGGCACGCGTGCCCACAGAGAGGGCTCTGAGTGCCGCCACTGGCACACGTGCCATAGGTTCGCCACCACTGTTCTAGACCCTCTGCCTGTCCTTTCAATTCTTTGCACAGCTCTAAAAGCCATCCTGATTGCTGCCAAGATCAGAAATGTCAACTCGTTTGTATTTTTCCCTGCTTGGGAAAGGAAACTCGGCACAACTGCTACAGCAGTTTCCAGCTAGACAAGTCAAAACAGCCCTACAAAAACTGGCATGTTCCTGAACCGGTTGCTAGCAATCAAATGCCATCCACCCAGGTCAGTGACAAAATACACTGCTGTAGTAGGAGCAAGAGAACAATGAGAAAGCCTTGCTGTGAAACTGAGCGGTTTTTGGCACCGAGAGAGGAGAAGCTGGTTGGGAGATGCCCTGCGCGATTTAACCACTGCAGGCCAATTCTCCAACCTTCCCCAATTTGGTGTCCCTCAAGCTGTGGTAGCCCCACACCTCTGCAGGCCCCTAAACCAAGGACGACGTGCTTATTGAGGTCAGTGGGTTTTAACCTGGGAGGACCTATATAGGGAATAGTGTTGGGGTGCAGCCAAGACATATCTATTCAAACACCCCTCCTTGGAACTGCAATAGACTTCCAGAGTTCCAGTTTAGAAGGTGATGTAAGTGTATATTGAGATCCATACTTTACATTTTATAATGCACAGCACTCCATACTTTGTAATGCACAGCACTCTTGCAGGCCAATAGATTTCAAGTAGTCTTTTAACATTTCTGCCCCAGGAGAAAAAAAAAAACCCTGTTTTTCTTGTAGAATCTTCCAACGGTAAAGTAAATCTCTTTCCATTCCTTACTGTATTCCGCATCCTTAAAACAGGCCCCCAGGCTCTCCTGCTCATCCATGCTGGCCTCTTCCTCGCTGTCCGTGCTGTGATGAGCCGGCCGTTTGATGGGCCTCTTCCCTGAGCGCTGGGTGCCGGAGGCTCCCGCAGAGCCACGTTCATGCCCAGCTGCCAACCAGGCCTGCAAGCTGGAGGCCCCTCCTGAGGACGACGACTGGAGGTTGGCCATGCACAACATGCCCTGGATGGCTTCCTGAGTACTGGGAGATGCAGGTGCATCACTGGGGAAGACAACCGAAGTAGAGCCCTTATTGTTATCAGCACTGGGACACAACACGCAACAACATGGGTTTTGTCCAGCAAACCTCTGAACCATTAACACTT